AAGCTTAGGCAGATCTATTTTAAGTTTTCAGATTATACTGCAAACTGGTTTCATATGTGGGTGGATAAACTTAAGAGCAATAATTATAAAATAGCAACCAAGGAGGCTGGAAGCAGAGCTTCAGACTCTCAGTATATTTTCTGGAGCTGGAGAGGTGCCAGGCTCCCTTTCAAAATGAGTGCTAAGTAACAGCACTCCAGCAAACACATCAAGTATTTATACTCGATCAGGTGCTAATAAGAAGTCCAGGAATTCACCAGGGTGGTAGCTTGGAAGCAGATGAGCATGCAAGCAAGAGTTTTCAGTTAGTAACCAGAAGTTGGTACCAGGAGTTTTAATGTCCATCTCCATGAACTATCAAATTCAAGCCATGCACTCACTGCAAGCTGCATTCCACATCACCTCTGATACCTGCTTGATATACTACCTATAAAACAGCCTTGAAGCTCACACCAGCTGTCTAGAGTTGACAACAGAGACAAATGCAAGGTATGCATAGTTTCCAAGAAGCTGAGGAATTACAGGTAGCTGGCCACATGTACAGTATCAAGTAGTCAGAGATGTCCAAAAAAGGACAAGGCAGTTTGAGTCCAAGGGTAGGAGGGATATGAAAGGTTTTGGACTGCTAGGCAAGAAACCAATGCTCTGAGTCAGAACCCTTATCAGATAGGTACCAGTCTCAAGGCAGACCATAGCAACAATAGCCAACACCACAGCATAAGGAACATATGATACAAATCTAGAGGGACCAAATCATGATACAAATCTAGAGGGACCACAGCTAGAGGACAGTGGAAGTAAACCCTACAGAACCCTCTTTCTCACTCTGCACAGCTTTGTACTTCCAACACATAGCAGCAGGTTTGCACAGCCTCAGTGAGGCTGAATCCCAACACAGCAAAATACCATCTACTTCTCACCTCTACTCCAAACTCAGCAGTCCATTAATAATATCTTTTCTCCTCAGTGTCAAAGTGTTTGTTCTAGTGCACAGAGCAGATTCCCTATCAAAAGTGACAAACTACTGCACTGGACTCAAGTATTCATGTGGAAGCAGAACTTCTTTTTTTTTAGAAAAGGAAAAAGAAGAGAAAAATCTACAGACATTTCTCTTTTTGTCTTACTCTCCTCAGCAGAGGATTTGCTCTGAAAACCAGACCTCAAATAGATTGCATGTCTTCCAAAAGCTAAAACAGCAAGACCTCACTTCTACAACTAACTCAGCAATACACTGTGTCATGCATCCTGAGGAACTGTTTTCTCCTGCCTGTTTCCCCACTTACCCGATGTTAAAAAAAACCAACCAAATAAAATAAAGAAGAAGAAAACCAAATCACAAACACTGCCAATAGCTTAGGTTCAACCTTAGCTGTCTCCTTATTTGAAAGCTAGTAAGGGTAAAGCGGGAATAAGCTGAAAAAAAATTATGGTCGAGTACCAAGACAATGTTTTATGCAATTAAACCTCAGTGGAACAAAAAGATCTTTACAGAAAGACCTGACCAATATAAAAATGCTTCAGAAGCAAGTATCTACAACTCAAGTGTTTTGTGTTTGCTGCAGCATCACTGTGAAAGTCAAGTACTTAACTAAAATGACCTTTTCATTCAAGAGGTTAAATATTGTCAAAAGTCAAGGTGTCCTGCTTCTAGAACTGCTCTATACTACAAGTCAGGATGAGTTCGCTACTGCAGACAACAAAAGCTCTGCAGCTCTGTTACTAAGATTCAGAACACTTGAGACTAGTCTACTTAGATGGCCTCAGAAAATGGCACAGTTTTTCCTTCCCTTTCCCATGACTTACTGATCTGTCAGCATTAGCCACTTTTCTTAAACAGCAACCTAAGGTTTATGAGACTTCAAAGTTACACAGCCTCTACACTCTTAGATTATTCCCATGTTTGAATCAAAACTCAAAAGGATACAAACAGGCAGGTGTTTCTGTCCTCCAGGTTTTCTCTGACTCAGGATAAAGGAGCATTCTTACTCAACAGCTCAGGAAAAAAAAAAAAAAGAAGGGCAAGAAAAGCATGTTTTAGAGAATGCAAAGCAGTGATGGCAGAGGTTCAGACACTTCAGGCTGCACATCTGTGGCAGCAAAACTTGAAGCACTGCTTTATCAGCAATCAGTCTGCCTTTACTTCCAAACTTTCTCCACTCAGAGGATCTCAGTCTTAGGTACTTTAAGGCTGCAGCAGTGTTTAGGAATTATTTGCTCAGAGAAAGCATGAGGAACCCAGAAAAGAAAGTTATCCACTTCATGGTGATGTGCCAGCTAATGTCACTAGTCCTCTTGCCAGAGGGATGTCCTAGTGTAGGCCTGGATAAGAAGAGTAGTCCATAAAGAATTTAACTGACCCAGAGCCCCTTCAAAAAGGGAGACTTCAACCAGAACTTCTGCACTATTAGTCTCCATCAGACTTTCTAGCAAGGCCCTTGGAAAGCCCAACAGAGCAGATGAGCACAGCTCCTATCAAGAATCAATAAATAACAACTGCAGAGTTTTAAGCCTAAATCAGACTTGAATGCTGACTTCCCTCTGTTACTCAACTACTGAAGCTACTCAACTGTTGAAGTAACTCAACACTGTTAGCTGATTAGTGAGCCAGCCTTTCAAAATATTAACAGTCCACCATGAGAGACTAAGACTTAAGGTTACACCATGTGGATACCCCATCCCTGGAAGTGTTCAAGGCCAGGCTGGATAGACCTCTGAGCAACTTGAGTGAAAGGTGTCCCTGTCCACAGTAGGGGGGTTGGGGACTAGGTGATTTTTGAGGTCCTTTCTAACCCAAACCATTCTATGATTCTAAGACTAGGAGACATACTAACAACCTATAATGTGGTTTTACCTATTTTACCTCCAGTTACCCTATTCATTCTCTAGACTACTCAATACACAGTTCAAGCAGTGGACGTTTACTGTTACCTTAAAGTCAGGAATACCTATTTGTTTTGCTGAAGTTTTTTCTGAGATGGGAAAGAACACTTTTTTTCTTGCCAGTGCCTGAGATATTAAGCAGAAAAAGGGACATCCCATACACAGTCGAACTGTTGGACTCCTTTTACCAGGAGGATAAGACATTTAACTTTTTCTGCTAATTCAGCTAAAGAGAAAAAAAAAAAGCAAGCTATTCTCTTCCTACTGGAAATCCTTCTATTCTTCAAGGATCATTAGCCTAGTGCCATTTCCAGGTCAACTACTGAACTACTCTGAAGTCTAAACATCATCTAACACAGATCTTTTTTGCTCTCCCCTTTAGAGTACTGCTGCGCTGCCACATGCCTACAGTACTACATACAGGTACTGGAAGATGGACTTCACCTCTATAGGTGATGGACTAATTGCACAAGAACCTTCCTACTGATGAGAAGTTAGCTGACCATAGCCTGAGGCTAGAGGAGTTTTTCTGCTCCTAGGTTGTCAGCAATACTGACATGCTTCTCAAGATATCTCAAAGCAGTAAAGCAGAGAGGAGCTGGCTTGCACTCCAAAAGCAAAGTTTTTGAATACAACTGATGAAAGAAGTTACAGGGTGTGAGTTATTCCTCAGAACACTGCTTCTCAGCAGCCATACAGCAGTGTGGATGGACAGTGAATACAGTACCACCACTACTGCCCTGCTGCAAGAAGACCTGTGAAGGCAGCTGCCAACTTCTACTGCTACAGACTGGTCAGAGAGCAATGTAGTTACATGAGTAAATCCAAGCCATCATAGAAAAAAACTTTCACAATTTCTACACCCACTTTAGTCACACATGCCTTATCTCAGCAGATCATCAACACTTTCACAAATTTCTTAGATGACGGCAGATGTTCCTGGAGAGAAGGTAAGCCTGGCATCTCATTAGAGCAACAGTGGGCACGTGTTCAAGGAGAGGGCTCCTTACATGGGCAAGAAGAAGTGCTGAATCCATACATGACAGATGCAGGCAGCAGAAGGTGAAACATGGAAGAGGCCAGGCTACCTTGACTCACTCTATAACACGGGAGTGTACCAGGGTCAGATACTGCTGACAGCCCCACAGTTGATCCATCCTGCCTAGAAACAGCTCCATGCTCCCCAGGACAACAGCCCCAGAGGAAGCACCTCTTGACACCAGCAACTCAGTAACACAAACAGCACAAACCAGCTGGCCCAGGACTGCTTATTATAAAACTCTGAGTGAATATCATCCCTCGCAGTTCTTGCTCCCAGGAAATCCTACCTTGTACGTTTCAGGAAGTCTGTCTACAGAGATACCAAGTCCTTGCAAGTGCAGCTAATGTATCAGCAGCGGTGTACTGCCACTACCGCTTTCAGTGCTGCCACTAACGAATTATCACATCCAAGGCCCACACACAGGCGGAAGGCACTTCACAAAGTCCACTAGTGTCCTATGGACATAAGCCAGAGCTAGAGAAGGGAAAGGGGGCACAGGTACTCCTGCAACAGCATCCTGTCCGTATTACAGCGCTGTGAAGGAGTGAGCAGGAGTTCAGCCTGGAAAGGAAAATCACAGACCATTTGATGGCAAGCTCGATGGTAAGGAAACAACAGCAGCTGTGCAAGATTTTTCCCCGTGAAGGCTACAGAAAGGGGACAGACAGCAAAGAAGCTGCAGCAATTCCTGAAGCATTTACACCTATCCGTGGAGGGTATGAGCCACAGGCAAATACAACCAGTAAAATACTGCCTCTCGCAACCACCTCGGTGGCAGTGGGAGCACCGCTGTCCCAGCTGGTCCCCTCGCTGCGAGGGACACGATGCCTTCAGCCCCCACAAATGGTGCCCTCTCCCACCTCGAGCAGCCCCGGGCTCTTGCAATGGATGTCAGCATCGCCCAGGGCTTCATTTCCCCGCGGGGAGACGAAGCAGGGAAAAGGGATGTGGCATGCAAAGACACGCACAGCCCTTCTGTCTCCTCTCCATGCTCTCTTTCAACAGAGAGGGTCAGAAACCCCTTCAACATCAGCGCCCCCGCCTCCCAAACGCCGCGCCCCCCTTCCCCGGGCCGTACCCTGTCGGCGATGCAGCGGGGCAGGAGCAGGTCAGGGCTGGGGGTGAGCGCCGGCCCCATCTCCTCGCTGCTGGACGTGGCCAGGGGATGCGGCATCTCCCGCAGCGACTTGGGCCCGGAGGACGGGAGAGGCTTGGGGGTGCTCGCCGCGCCGCCCGACATCGCGTCGGGGCCGGGAAGCGACTGAGGCAAGGAGGGAGGGAGCGGAGGCCGCGCCGCCTCGGCGAGGAGCTGCGGGGCCGCGGCTGGAGCCTGCCCGCCACCGCCGGGCTACGAGGAGCGGCAGGAGGCGGCGGCGGCTGCGGCGGAGGAGGAGGAGCGAGCGCAGCGTCCGCCTCCGCCGCCGCCCGCCCCTTCCAAGGCGCCATCCGCGCCACCTGCCGCCGCCCGGCCGCGGAGGGCGCGGGGCCGCCCAGCGCGCCGCGGCGGCAACAGCGCCGCCCCTGGCGGCACCCGGCGGGGCGGAGAGGGGAGGCGGCCCGGGGCCGGCATCGGGACCCGCCGAAGCCCCGGGCGGGGCGGGGCGGGCTGGGCCGGGTAGGGGGAGATATCCGGACCCTCGAAGGCCGGGACGCTGCCGCCCGCCCCGCCGGGAGCCGCAGCCGCCACACGGGGCGGCCCCGACGGCGCTGGTGTCGAACGGCGGGTCAGGCGCCAGAAAAGCCACCCAGCTCCTCGGCTTTTCCAGGCCGAGTTCGCCGACCTCAAACTGTGTGCGTGTTTGAAGGGAAGTTGTGGTAAAGTGGTGCAGGACGAGAGCTCCCCTGAAGTCAGTGTGGATGTCGCGGGAGGGTGCCTGAGATGGCAGCAGGGCTTCGGCGGCGCCTCCGCCAGGCAGCACGGATCCCAGCCGGGCACAGGAAGGACAAGGCCCTTCCCCCGGGCCTCCCTTGCGGTGGGAGTGCCTCGCAAGTCGACACAGGGAGATGCTTGCACGTAGGGCCAGCGAACCACAGAAATACGCTGTCGCTGATGGCCGTGTGTCTGCTTTCGCCGCATTTGAGACATAATGCATTTTTGTAGAGTAAGGAGCTGATAGATTATATTAAATCCTGTAGAAGTGATCCATGCAAATTTGTCATTGCATGTATCCATCACCGTGATCTATCCACATTTAACAACGTGGAAAAGGTGCTGATGACTGCAGAATAATTATTAAATATATGAAAAATAATAGTCTGGTTTAAGATAATCCTAAACAGAGAAAGCAGCTAAATTTTTCTGATTAAGTTTTTTTTTTTTTTTTTGCAAATAATGTGCTCAGCACTAATTAGACTAGTGTAAAATCATACTACATCTAGACTACGACAGTAACATGCTACTGGGGGAAGTGATGTATTACTATGAGACTGTTACAATCCCTTCCAGCTATAGATAGATATATGAACATAAACACACAAGACTTGACCTAACAAGACTTGGATGACTGAAATATTTCACTTGTGTCTAACTTTTCCCTGGGGGAGTACAATCCACTGAAATCAAAAGGGCAGCACCAGTACTTAAAGCTAAGCCAGCAAGTTTTACAGGTGTCAGTGCCAGGTGCCACACAGCAGGACAAGCATGAGAGCACAACACTGTGGGCTGTCATTACAAAAAGAAATCCTATTTGTCACAGGGAAAAAAATATGGGAAAAAAAATCAATCCTTACTATAAATAACTATTCAGTATTACATAACATTGAACTCCAGTCACAATCAAAACTCCAAATCAAGTGCCAAGCCCCAGTGAGAAAGCAGCTGTGAAATATTCTTTGTTCATGAGATTTCACAAACAACAACCTGTTTATCAGGAAAAGGAAACAATACAAATTATCATAAATGCATACATCTCAGCGACCTTCTAGATTATCCAAATCTTAAGTGGAAACTTGTGATAAAGCAGCAGGTAGGTTTGTATATCTGTTACACTGCTCAGGAACTAGTTCCCCTCAGTGGGAACTCAACTCCCCTCCCCTCTCCTTGTGAGAGCCTGTTCCTCAAAGGCTTATGACTTACTAAGAGCTATTCCTGTTTTCCCTTAAGCCTTCTCACCCAGCTCTGTTTCTAGCTGAATCCCTCTCCAAAGGAAGCCTGTCAGGGACACCAAAAACTTCAACACTTGGAAACCTTGGGGCATTCTAGCTCTGTGCAGGTACAAATGACCCTCTGCTCAGCAAACCTTGGCCTGGTGGACAGTGAGCTGAGCATAAGCCTTGCAGGAAAGACCAAGAGTATCCAGGCTGCCTACACAGCAGGCAGCACAGGCAGCAGGTCGAGGGCAGGGTTTATAACTCTCTGCTTGGCACTTGTTAGACCTTATCAGATATACTGTGTTCAATTGTGGGGCGTTTATACAAGATGCTGACAAACTGGACGAAGTTCACAGGGAGCACTGAGATGGTTGGTGACAGGAACACTTGCCTACGAGCAGCAGCTGCGGGGCTGAGGCTTTTTCAGCCTGGAGCAGACGGTGCCTTCAAGGGCACTTAATTGCAGCCTCCAGTACCCCCTAGGGACACAATGGAAGAGAGAACTGGGCTTTTCACAGCAGACATAGCAGGAGGACCAGAGACAAAGGACATCGATTAAAACAGGAAATTCCTGATGGATGTTAGGAAGATTTTTTTCCCCCTGAAGACAGCCAAGAGGCAGAGCACAATGCAGAGAGAGGTTGTGCAGTGTCCCCCTTGGAGTTTCTCAAGACAATCTAATCTGATCTCATGTCTGAGCCTCCTTTAAGCAAGAGATTGGACCAGAGACCTCCCTATATCCCTTCCAGTGTGAAAGATTCAGTTATTCAGATACCATGTATTGCTACAGAAGTCATTATGTCTAGTTCCTGAGGTTATGTAAGGTGACTTCTCAATTATCCTGTACACAAGAATGAAGTTCCATGCTCCAGAGATTTTATTTACTAACTAAAGACAGATGTCTGTCCTCTTCCGATTTTAGTAAGTACTAAGTCTGTAAAGGTTGTAGAGGTAGCAGTCTAGGTTTAACAATGATACATACCTTCAGAAGCAGATGCAAACTACGATACTGAGAATGAGAAGAAAGCCAGATTGGATGGGGATTTGAGCAACCTGGTCTAGTGGAAGGTGTCCACTGGGGTTGGATCTAGAAGATTTTTAGGGTCCCTTCTAACCCAAACCATTCTGTCTTCAAGAAGAGTTCAAAAATCATCAATCTTACCTCAAAATAGATTAAATTTACTTTAAATGTGTAATCTGAAAAATCTCTACAACTGCGCAGGCTTTTCTTTCCTGTATTCTCTGCAAGTTCTTATTACAGACTAAGGTGAGCTTTAAGCCTCCCCTTCAGCCATGAGAAAAACCCATTTCTATTTTTTTTTAGCATGGAAGACTACAATCTCATGTACTTGATTTCAAGGGCTGGAACTTCAAAAAGACGGAAGATAAAACAGTTTTAAGACTTGCATTTGAAATTAGAGTTGGGAGCAAATTCTTGTACCTTGATTAGAACTAGTCACACATTATCAACAGAGGTCATAAAGAATTCCAAATCTTTTGTTCATGAAACAGAAAAAAGAGGCATGCTATGTAGCTGATTTCTTGTAGGAATTGTTTTCTACACACAAATAGAAAGCCTCTAAATACTTGAGCATATGGATCATGTGGGTCCAACAGCAGGCACAAGAGGTATAGCCAAAAACTGAGGAAGAAAAGTGTCTATTTCTTCTAACACCAGCAGTGAAGTAAGTAAATATTTTAATTCTTCGAAGAAATTATGAGTGATTAAAAACACGAGAATGTACCATTCTCCAGTTCCTACTCCTTCCACCAACTGTGATGGTATCATTTTATGACTGTAATACTTTCCTTGACCTTTATATTGATAGTTTTCTTTTTGTCAAACATTGACCAAGCTAAAACCAATATGCACATGAAACATGCAACCATAATAAAAGACAACGAAAACCAAAATCAATGACAGGTTGAAAGGAGGTTGCCATTCAATGCCCATGTCTTAACCCAAGTTTAACTGAAAAAACTGGCATGCTCTCCTAGCAAAATCCTAACTATTATTTATTATGTTTACATCATTTCTGCTCAGAAACAAGATGAAACAGAATAGGTATGCATGTAATGCTAAGTGGGCAAGAAGAAAAATGGTCGATCTGGGGATCAAGAATCTCACCAATTTAAGACCAAAGGTCACCAGTTTCATGTGTTTTTCTAAAGAAAATAGCTCTGTCTCTGTATGACTGAAATTAAAGTCCTGCAGGCTACCCCTTTGGATTGTTGGATAAAAAAAGGAGAGAAAGGATCTATAGGTCACCTGTAGGAAGACTATTTACAAATTTAAAGATAGGCAGCACCTATCTTGTACTGCTGTTCTGATTTGAAGTGCCAGTTACTCCAATAATACCACTTAGGATGCTTTTTTAATGGCATATGGGTTTATAAGTGCTCAGTGTTAGCCTGAAAAGGACTCTCAGTTGTTTATTAACATTGTCTTTGTAATGCATCTTCATCTTTTTGTTCAGATAATGGAGACATAAAATGGCAGTAGGGTGTACAATCAACATCAGGAGGCTAACTTCAGGTTGTATTATTTACTAGACCAAACATGTAAAGCCCACCTGCTTTTCATAAAGTATTCTATTTAAAGCCTAAATTATAGGATTCTTCTCTATAGTACAAACAGTACAAACAATAAGGTAGGCTGGAGGCCACAACAGTCAAACTGTCAGGCTTGGCTGGTTTGCCAGGTCAAGAGCAGTAAAAGCTCTTTTCCCACACTGTCAACAGCCTCTCCTCAACTGCTTTATGTTTTTCCCTACTGTGGTCTGCGTTGGAGAGGATAATGGTTGTGCTTGTCTGCACATAAGCACATATGAAACCGATATGGAACAAGACTGTTCTAGAGGATGTAAAAAAAACCAAAATCCAACTGTCTTTTGAAAAAGGTCCTTCTTTCCATATACTACCAGAGCTCATGTCTTGTACTGCAGAGATTGAAAAGGGTAGGCTTTTGACCCAACCCTGTTGAATCGTATGCTCCTGCTCATTGACTGTCTACAGAGATGGGATCAGTTTCAAGTCATCAGCACACAACTTATGAGCACTCACACACATGAGTAAGTTAATGGCTAAGATTTTGCTGCATAAAAAGCCTTCAAAGCTGTCAAGTTTGATGGGGATGCAATAAACAGGATAGTGGGAACATAGGGCACTTGTGATAGAAAGGGAAAGCCCGTGCTCAATGGCTATCAAATGAAAAATCATAAATCCAATCAAGG